AGAGCGCCCAGCCTCTGCTTCCCCCCATGATCACAGACTGGCATGCAAACAGACAAGTGTCTGTGCCAGCCTCTCCCCACCTGTAGACTGCCTTGGCCCTAGGGGCCGAGGGCACTCAGGGCAATGGGTTGGCTCCCCCACCTGTATCCACCCTCCAAATGAGCCTCTTTGGGAGCAATCCCAAAGGTCAGGGCCACGTCTGCCCCATACCTGGCCCAGAGCAGGGGGAGGGGGCCAGGTGAGTGAGGACAGGTGAGAAGGGTGGGTGAAGACACCTCTGTGACCCAGCTTATCACCCCTTCCACCCCCTCACAGCACAAGCTCACTACCGTCCTCACCGTCTCACTCAGACCTGCATCCCAGTCCCCAGGCCCCTGCCCTCCAAGGAATGACCCCTCAGCAAAGATTGCTGGATGCCAGGCCTGAATCCCTGGGTGCGATCAGGAGGGCCTGGCGAGTGCGGCATGCACACACACCAACCAGCCAGCTCGCTCTCGGCTTAACCACGCCTGCCAGAGTCACTGCCACTTTCCCTCTTAGCGGAATCAGGTGCCCAGGTTTACTCCTGTCTCCCCAGAGGGGGCGGTACTCACGGTTGGTTCCAGAGCGTCTCAGGGGCGGCCTTGGCCACGTAGGTGACGGGCACCAGCCCCGTGCCGGGCCAGCCCGCGAGCCTGCGGGCGAGGATGTAGCCGCCCTCCTCCCTGAGGGCGTGCAGCCTCTCCCCGCGGCTGACACTCAGCTCCTCCGCGCTCCACGCCGTGAAGTCAGTGCCCTGAAGAGCTGCGCGGGGGCCTGGGGGTTGCAGGGCTCCGCGGTGGGGGGCTCCGCTGCCGCGGGTCCCGGCTCCACGTCGGCGTCGGAGTCCGGGCTCGGGAACCGCGGCGCGCCCGCCGGCCAGATATTGTCCCAGAAGGAGGACAGGAAGGTCAGCTGCTTCCTGAGGAAGGGCTCCATGCCCCGCGGTGCGCCAGGCCCTGCAGGGGACGGAGAGGGTGCAGCAGCGGGGCTCGGGGACCCCGACGGGGAGAAACTGGAGGCGCGGCGCGACGGTGAGCGCTGGAGCCTCGCTGGCGCAGGGGGGGCGGGTGAGAGTCGCTCCAGAGCCCCCCGCCCGCTCCCCGCGGTGCTCACATCAGCGCAGGGTGGCCCCCCAGCCCCGGCCACACGACGGCCGCTGCCCTCCTCGACCACTAGGGTGTCTCGCGGGCAGCACTGGCTCCCCGACCGCTCCGAGCCGCGTGCGTCTGGGGCGGGATCTGTCCCAGGACGGCGTCGGGGCGGGGCCTGGAAGAGGGTTTCCCGAAACCTGCGTCTGGGCGGGGCTATGGGGCGGGGTCTAGGTGGGTGGGGCCGTGGTGGGTGGGGTCTCGTGGGTTGTAGGAGGCGACGCGGGGAGGTCCCTGTGGGGAAGGAGACGTCTGCGTCTTGACTGTCAAGGTCACTCTCGTGGTGTGATCTTGTAGGACAGCTCCGCTAGGTGTTCCCCTTGGGGGAAATGGGCAAAGGGTGCTTGGGATCTCTGTGTTATTTCTTACAACTGCAGGTGAATCCACAATTATCTCAAAACTGAAAGTTTAATTTTAAAAATTTAACTGAGTAACAAGAAATAGAAAAAAAAAAAAAAAAGATGGGGCCAGAGATGGCAGAGGTCCAGGACATGCCTGACCCAGAGCAGGAGGGGAGACTGCTCTGCCGCCCACCCCCTCTCTGTGGGTGGGCCGCAGGGCTGCGGGGCGGCTTCCTCTCACCACATTCCAGGTGCCAGCCTCCCTGTCAACCTTCAGATAGCACCCCTTTTCCAAATAATCCAACTCTTGCGTTTCAGACCCCAAAATAACGACGTAACAACAGCTACAACTTACAGAGTTAGCGCCCAGGGCACCCACGCACTCCCTCCCAGGCCTGGGCCCAGAGGACAGTCTGATGGGCGCTTAGCCCGGCAAAGCCTCCTCCCAAGAGTGAGGTTACCGGGAGTGGTGGGCGTGCCCTGGGGGGCAGGCCCTGCCACGGAGCAGAATGGGAGGGGAGCTCAGGGACAGACACCCTATCCTGGAAGGGTCCCCACCACTGACCTGCAAGGGGGTGGAGGCAAGTGGCGTCCCTTGGCTTGAGGAGGCGTCCCGGCCGGGGCTCAGGCCGTGACATTCCCAGGGAATGGAGCGAAGCCTCTGGATGGTCTGTCTGAGCTGAAACCTGGGGGCGGGCCCGGGGCTGAGACTCGTTGGTTCCTTCAGTCGGGTCCTGGGGCGGGGGAGCGAGCCCCGCGCGACCTGCCCGCAGCCCCTCGGGTTGAGGGCGCCCGAGCCCCATGCCCTGGGCTCTCCGCCCACCCCGCCCCCAACCCCCGGGGGGCGGGACGTCACAAAGGCCCGCGGTCCCCGTGGCAACCCCCTGAACGCCGCGGCGCAAGGCTGGGCACCCCCCCCCCCCCCCCCCCCCCCCCCCC